TATTTCAGCTCCCACGCGAAAATTCCTAAAATATCTTATTAATGATTTTTTTTTCTCACATTCGCCACCAGCACGTTTCGCGCATCCTCTTACTCTTCTTCATCATCTTTTTTTTCCTATTTGACCCGTGGTGAAATTGTAAAAAATAATAAAACGGTGGCTCTCCGCGACTTGCGTGCAGGCACGTCGCGGCGCAGAAATTAAGCCCCGCAAAAGACAACCGACACGCTTGCTTTAGGTCAGCGCGTCCTTCTCTCTCTGCCTGGATAATTTATACATGGCAGCATTTGTGAGCCTCAGACACTGCTGCCTTTATTGTTTGAGTTCTCAAATAATATTATAATTGAGCCCAGGAGCAGACGGCAATAACTCGGCAATCATATGGTCGGTCAGCGAGCGAGCGCGCGGCAGCATAATCTCAATTGACACACAGGGGCCAATCTAAAGGCCAAATGTCTTTGCTATGAATAAGCATCATCGTCGCTCGCGGCAGACACTCATGCAGCTTCAAGAGAGTGAATATTATATAAGAAAGCACATAAGGGGCTCCCCTTCGGCTATGACTCTAGAATATGCAAATTTTGTTTTCAAAGAGGCACAGCTGATCGTCTCTCCGTCAAATCTCAGCAATTAAAATGTAAAAATTAAAACTGCAGACTTTCTGACTTTGATTTAAATAATTTTTCAGGCCAAAATGATTATTTAATTATTTGACCGAAAATGTCAAGAATTCAAGGCATTCGCTCAAGTGGGTCTTCCTGCTCCAAAGAGATGATACGATTTTCAAGTTTTTTTTTTTACTAGTGTGTGAGTTGTTTGCGGCACTAAATAAGCAATTTTACAACTCGGGCCGCATCTCCACTTATCACGCGATCACATGTGCAGGTCGAAACCTTTTTTAGATATACGAGAACCCTCTTGGATCATTTTATTAATAATTTCAAACGCAACAAAGAAAAACTCTCGTTTGATTTTCTGCTGACAGCAGATGTTAAAAAGCCGCACGCCGATTAATTCCAATTATACACGCCCCTCATTTCAAGGGATCTGGCTAATTTGACGACATAATTGGCTAAATGCTTCCTCAAAATCCGCCCTCATGTTGGAGAATAAAAAATAAAAATATCCAAACCTCAGAGCTTAAATACGAATAAAAGGCTGTTTGACGCTCTCGGTTTTGAGGTTAGTTGCGGTTGGCGCCGTAGCGAAGAAACACCTGCGCGCGTCCGCCACACGAATAAATTAAAACGAATAAACAACACAAAGGGAGGAAAAAGCGCAGCACCGAATTTCCAGATTCGCCCGCATTGTTTTTCGACTAAAAACTAACTTAATTAAATTACCTCGCAAGAAATCAGGGAAATTTTCTGCGGCGATTTTTTTTTAAAGGGGAGTCTTTTCCTGCTGAGTATAGCTGTGGGGTGATAAATTCTATAAGGGGTAGCATCTCCCCGGGTGAAAGGAGCAGGGGGGTTTAACAAGGAGAGACCGGCTCTTTGTGCCAATATGGAAGAACGTGACACACCTGGTCGAAAATAAGCAGCTCTGCGCGCTCTCTCGGATTTTATATCGCAGACAACCCAATTGCAACAAATCAAACCCACATTATTAGTATTTCAGATCGCGCAAACCACACACACTATAGCTGCGTGAATTATTGCTCGCGCCGAGAAGAGGCTAAGTAAACATTTATTGAACCCATATAAATGCAGTGTGGGGCCAGGATCCTCGAGTGGCTGTTTTTTTAACCGAATTTTCTGTATGAATGAATGGAAAAGTTTTGAAAAACCTGTGGATTAGTTTAATTTTTAAGGTTGGTAAAGAAAAAAAAAATGAATGATTTATTCGTCGTTTAAATTGATTAATTCAATTTTTATATTACTATAATTTGTTTAAAAATATTGTTTGATCATACATTTTTGGATGAAATAATGATATTAAATTGTAAGATAAAAATTGAATGATATTGTGTTGAATCGAAGGAAAGAGTCCCACACTGTCCTGTTGAGATATTTTGATTAAATGGAAGTTAATTTTAATGCTGGCTAGAATGAAATTTAAACTTTTAATTATTACTTCAGAGCTCATATGTTCAAAAATCTATACCCATTTTAAAGTTTTAATCGAGGCATGTTAAATATTGATAATTATTTAAACTAAAAAATTAAAAAAAAATCTTTAGATAGATGTTATAATAAATATTTAATAATCTTCAAAATATTCAAAATAAAATAATAATGTGCAACAATAATTTTTAAATTACAATTAACAGTTGATTAACTAAATTCTGAAAAGCAGAAGAAATAATTCAATAAAAAGAAAAATGCTTTGGTCTTACCTTCAAATTGCGTAAAGAGGCTGCAAGATACAAAAGCGTCCTGGTCTAACATCATGCGCTCGGATTCATCATGCAACATCAAGAGGGTGAAGAAAAATGGCGAACTCCTTGCAAAAATGAGCACCAAGTCGATCTCTCGAGAGCAAATTCACCCCACTCTGCGACGCCTCTCCGAAGAAATCTCATCTCTTTCTCTGCCGTGCTGGCACTTAGCGGCGCTGACTAATTTGACTGGGAGGGTTGTTGGGACCGCAAATAATAACACGTGGTGAGCTCAATATTTAAGGGAGAGGGTGGCGGGTGCAGTGTCGCGGCCAAGCAGTTGATGAAACGCGCGGCGGGGGTGGCTGCTGCAGGGTGTCGCTCCGAGAGAAGCAGTGCACCATGTGTGTTTGTCAGTTGCACTGTTTGGCCAAATAATTGCGGTATTTGACTACCGCACAAGAGCTCACTAATAAAATTTACAGCTCCTAATGATGCAAACATAAACTCTCCGACAGTCGGCGCCTCTCTATATCTCTCTCTTCCTAAATAATATATCTTGCACAAAAGGCCTATTGTGTCTGAATCATGTTCTTGTTTGCCAACTTCAATCAGCCGTGATTTAATTAAACTGCTCCAATCAAGGCGGCCTATTCAGACGAGAATTCAGCAGAGAAAACTAAAACTTAATATTTAAATTTGATCAAACTAACTAAAATGCTTATTTGAAAATGCAAATTTTTGATACTATTTTGGTCTTTCTTTCTCTTACTTACTAAAGGATTTTTATTTTTGTAAATTAAATCGCACTGGAATTTATTTTAAATCATTATCTGAATTTTATTTTTAATTATTTTTCACACAATCAGCACGTCAGTGTAACTTGGGTGCCATTTAAATATAAACATTGGACTCTTGGTATAGTTTTTCATAATCTTAAGGGGGGAGTAAACATTATTATTTCATCAAAAAAAGAGGGAGGCCACAATTGTAATCTTCAAATATATCCATCATCAATTACGTCTTGCGAGATTCATAATAATCATAATTAAGGGACTATATGTACAAAAATGATAAAATATTTACACATAGTTATTAATTTTTTTTTCATCATTTCATCGTATTTTTGTGAGTGCAAATTTTTGCTTCGTTTGCGACATAGCTCTCGATTTTCCATCTTAACTGCTCAGTTAATTAATTAAATGACATATGAGATCAATATATTCATTCATTATGAATAACAACAACTAATCAATTTTCACTGAGGAATGTGTGATAATTTTTGGAAATTGCTGGATGCAACTTTGTGATTTTTTGCTTAATACCACGACTTTTGCTTTTTTAATTATAATTATAAAAATCAGGCAAAATTATACCGCGAAAAAGTGTATATGCAGTGGAATGCTTTTCAAATTTGTACTCTCGCGCAAACTCATTTCTCTCTGCACAAAGGGAGGCGGTTCTGTGCTTAATGAATCGTGTTTTGTTCCGGACTGGGGGAGGATTTGCGATAATAAAATAATTATGTAGCTTTAATTATTGGACTCTCTCGGGGGTGTCATTACTTTGAAACTGATAACAAGAGTCGAATGATAAATTTCAATTATTAATTTCGGTAAGCGTGAGCGTTTCACAATTGAGAGAGGAAATTTTGCAAGTTTTGTAAATACACGAGTTTCGCCTTTTGCTATAGGTAAAAATGCACGACTCATTTCGTGGCATAATTCGCCCTTTTTATTATATAGTGTTTTCAGCATGCTGCATTGTACACATTGGTCTTATAGCTTGCAATAAAAAATATATAAATTCACGCTCGCGACATAAAAACAGGGTCATTTGCATGAAATTAAAAATGCAGCACTCTGTATTTTTTTATTGCTGGTTTGAAAAGAGAGGCAGAATGAAATAAACGATTTAAGATTGTTTTAAGTGATTTGCCAATAAAAGAGAAACGGAATGTCGTGGCATATGGAACTAAGCATGAGTGAGAAAAAAAATCAATGAAAATTTATACTTTTGTTTAAGTATGCAAGCTTTTTTCGTGTGAGATTCAAAACGAAATATATTGGTTTTCAGTCGGCACAGGTATAATAATCATAATAATAATCGAATAACAACAAGGGAGCGCGACAAAACAGAATTAAAAGACATCTATCCAAAAAAAGGTACCTCCCTTAACCGCATCGTCTAATCAGAGATTGGTCTCTCACAAGTGGATACACGCACATTTGGAGTGAATAATAAAAAAAAATTATAAATCGGATTATTTTTTCTCAAAATTTTCGGATCGAACGTTTTTTTTTTACTTTTTAAATCGCATCGCGCGTGAGTGTGTGTGGGTTGAATTGAGATTGAGTGCTCACTTGGTTCTCAATAAATCAAAGTTATTAGAGAAAACAACACTAGAGTGGATGCAGTACCTTGAGCTGCTGGCGAGGAGCGCGGTGCGCGCGTGGCGGCCGCCTTGGCCGCGCCTGCCGTCGCGCGGGTCGTCGGTGCCGCGGCTCACACACGACACAAATTTGGTATCTGTTGTCTTTGGGGGTCAGTTCGAATTTTTCTCTCTTCTCTTCTTTCTTGCAATTTACATAGTACATCACCGGTCAGAATCACAACACAAACTGTATAACAACTGCACAGAGTCCTGTCTCTCTATCTTTGTCAAAGTCAAATTGTTCAATTGTTCTTTTTTTTTAATTACTTTTAAAACCCAGCGTCTCTGATCACTGGACGGTGGCCCTGTTGGGGGCCACCGGGCCCCCCTCTAGGGGCGCCCGGCCCGCTCACTGCAACCTGTGGTGGTAGAGGTGCAGCGTCATGGCCGCCGGAGGACACACGGGCGGCGAGTCCCGTGGGTCTGCGTCCTCGGCGGCCCACCACGCGGCGGGTCGGGCGGCGCGGGGCTAGTGGGCCGCTGCGAGGCTCTGGTGCGCCATCGGCTGGGGGGACAACATTGGTGGGCTGTGTGAGTGCTGCGTGTGCATCGGCGGCGAGCCGTGCATGTCCGCGTAGTGGTGGCCGTGCATGTTCATGCCGGGTTGCGAACCGTCGCCCATCATGCCGTCCGGCGGGCCGCCGAGGGTGTTGGGCGGCGTCATCCGCTTTTCCTTCTGGCGCCGGTTGCAGAACCACACGCGCACCACTTCCTTCTCGAGCTGCAGACTGTCGGCGAGGGCCGTGATCTCCTGGGCCGACGGTTTCGGTTGTTTGTGGAAATGCTGCTCGAGCGCGCCCTTGACGCTCACCTCGATGCTGGTGCGCTTCTTGCGTTTGCGGCCCTGCGCGGCGATCTTGTCGATGCTGGTCGGCGAGCCGGTGGTCGAGTCGGCCTCCTCCAGCCACTTCTGCAGCAGCGGCTTCAACTTGCACATGTTCTTGAAGCTGAGCTGCAGCGCCTCGAACCGGCAGATGGTGGTTTGCGAGAAGACGTTGCCGTACAGGGTGCCGAGCGCGAGGCCGACGTCGGCCTGCGTGAAGCCCAGCTTGATGCGGCGCTGCTTGAACTGCTTGGCGAACGCCTCGAGGTCGTCCGAGGTCGGCGTGTCCTCCTCGGGGTCGTGGCGCGGGTCGGGCCCGCCGATCGAGTTGGGGCTGCCGTTGTGCATGTCCCGCAGCGAGTGGTGCAGCTGCGGGCCGACGCCGAGGGAGTTGCCGCCCCCGGAGGCGGCGGCGGCCGCCGCCGCCAGCATGCCGTTCATGCTGTAGGGGTGCTGGAGGGGCGAGGAGCCGTTGGACGAGGACATGTAGTGCGACGAGTGCCACGAGTGGTGCGGGGGCGGCACGCCGCCCATGTGCTGCGGGGGTCCCGCGGACCCCGCGCGCGCCGCGTGGTGCGCGTGGTGCAGCTCCTGTTGTTGCTGCTGCGGCTGCGGTTTGACGTCCTGCATGGCCGGGTGGTGCATCCCCCAGTGGTGGTGCTCCGGCGGCAGGCTGGCCCACGGGTTGTGCGCCAACGGGTGGCCGTTGGACGGCGCCCCGTGGCCGCCGTGGTGGTGATGGTGGTGGTGGTGCTGCGGCGGCAGGTACTTCATCTCGTGCGAACTGCTCGGCGGCACCGAGGCCGGCGGAGGGTTCGAGTCTCGCGGCGAGCCGTAGCCCTGGACGGCGGCCGCCGCGGCCGCTGCGGCCGCGTTAACAATGTTCATACCTGCGAAGCCGCCGCCTGAACCGAGAACGCTTCGCGAAGCACAGTCCACGATGCTGGAGGCGCATGAAGCGGGCGCCGAGCCGCCCGAGGAGGCCAACACGAGCACGGCACTCGGCGAACTGTTGATGCTGGATGCGGACAAGTAGGCTGTGGCCATGCTACGCTAGCCGCACTGCATCGCTGCACTCTCACGCGTTTTCAAAATCAAACTCTGTCCGTCTCTTTTTTTTTCTTTGTCACTGATCGCGCTCGTCGTCGTCGTCGGACACTGATGCAGCAAGGCTCATGAAGCACCGACTGGCTCTGAGTGTGTGTCTGCGTGCAATGCGGACCGTACGTCAACTGAGTGTCGGCGGGTCGCGCGAGGGCCTCTCGTGCTCCCCACCCTACCAGCCAAGACCAGCTGACTGAAGCGCGATGCTCGGCCCCTTCCAGCGCCGCGGTGTTTTCCTCTTTTTTGTACGTCGGCCGAGGCCGCGCCGCGATTGGCGCGCGCCGCCGCTCTCTGATGTCACGCACGCGGCGCCGCCGCCATTGGCCGCGCCAACGCCGCCCAGCTCGCCTCCTGCTCTCTCGCTGCGTATCTCTCTCGCTACACCCGCAACACACACACCACGGCTCGCACTCTCGCGGAATCATGCCAACCTGCTGCAGCAAACAACCCTCACAGCGTACCACGCACTCCGCGAAATATATGAACAAAAACTTGATTTTTATTATTTTATTTAAACAATATAGAATTATAAAAAAGGATTCCGGAAAAAAAGAAGCTGAAAGAAGTAAATAAAACTTACTCAATTAATGAAAATATAATCCTACTTATTTGGTTTTAAATATAATAATTATATATTGCTTTATGATTAACAAATAATTTAAAAAAAAATAAAATGTAATTTATAATTTATCAATATTTTATAAATTGTTTTACAATTTTTGTACTTGATATTCCTAATTATTAAATATAAAACATACAAAATTTTTTTAGGTCATTTAATAATGGAGGTTTTTTACTGCATCAATATTTCGTTTCTACAATATGTAAAAAAAAATATTATTTTTTTTTTAAATAAATATAATAAATAAATAAATATAATATACAGTTCTATGATGTTTTGAACATTGCATAATAAAAATATTTCTAAGATATCATAGTTTGATTTGCGTCGGAAGAGTTCAAATGATTTAAATTTACTGATTTTTCACAAGAATGAATGAAAAGGAGCATTATACCCTTATTGATGATGGCCTCAACAATAACAAAACAAAAATGGGATAATAAACACTTTCGGGGCAAATTAATACATTGTTTTTACGAAAACTATTGATGAACATAAAAAAGCAAGGTTTCTTGTAGTTTACTTTTATATAACCCATTATATTAATACGACCGTTTTGAGGTTTTTCGAATCAACTGGTTAATTTTAACAAAGTTTAATTTTCATAATCCTCCATTTCTCTTTGCACCAGCAGAGTACTAAAAAATATATTGCTCCAATTAAAAAGTAACTTAAATTTTAATAATAACATTACAGGCATTGAAGCCTAGAATTGCGGCTGAAAATCGCAAACCGCATTTTTTTTACAGCCTTTGGATACAGATACAAGGCAGGCTCCGTGCTCAGTAGTTAGTCGCTGCCCATCGCGCTCGTTGGAGAGGGCAGCACTGCATGGCAAAAGGTCGCTCTTCGCTCGGCACGGGAGCAAAACTTTCAAAATAATCTCTTGCTTGCCCATATAATATAAAAACTATTTTGCACAAAATATTTCATTCAGTTTTGTTTGATGGTATACGTTGGCAAATTAATAAAAATCAAGATCAAATTTTTTAATTTTTTTTTATAAAAATTCATTTCAAATAAATCGCGATAATTATTTCGTTAAATTTTTGAATGCATTGTATAACCATCGCGATAGCTATGTAATGGAATCAAAAAATTATTACAATCTAAGGAACTGAGGTTTGATTCCATAATTTTTTATATATAACAAAACTGCAAGTTTTTTTTCAAAATTTATTATTTTTCGTTTTTGAAAATAATTGTAAGACGAATTTTGACTAAATCTAAATTTGCTTACTTAAAATCATGATTACACAAGATTAAGAGTCACATTTAAAATTAAATTATATTATGTGTACAATAAGAAGTCAATTTATCAGATTAGTGTCAACTAAATTTTCAAAATATGTTTAAGGATATAATTTTAGTTAAAATTTATTCAATAATTTACTACAGATTTATAAATTATCAACAGCTTTCGTAAAAACTATTTAATTTAAATCTGAAGAAAGTATTCAAAATGAAGAAAAAGACGATAATTGTAATTAATCTTTAATTAGGTAAAATATAAAATTAATTTTTGGAAAGCAGAGAAAATATCGCTCTTAAAAGTAGCAACCAACTGGATTATATGGTTTTAAAATAATATTTAAGAAGCTATAAGAACGAGGCGAGCATTTGCATGACGCCTGGGTCAAAAACAATCGCCACTGGAACAGCGGGGGTCGGCCGTCGAGGTGGCCATTTGTTAGCAGTGGCCTCTGGATTTATCACTGTCACCAGCACACACACGCGGCGAGCGCATTGTGCTGCTCTCAAGACAAAATACACCGAGAATGAAACGCAGCCGCCTATGGCACGCATAACAACACAAAAATATATGTGTATAAATACTTTGTATAACAAAGTTCAGAGCGCGTGTGGATTCAAATAAGCCTCTCGGAAAAAAACACATGCACAACCCGTTTGGCATTTTTCACGGCGCTTCACATTATATCTGCAGCCGGGCGGGACAAACAGGCCGAGTGACAGATTCGGAAAGATGAATCCGAGAAGTCAAAAGGGCCGCGGCCGTCTGATTAATTACTACACCTATTCTCATTATGCAAATCGCCTCCGAGCGTTTATGTATATTTCCAAGCCGGCTACTTGTGTTCTTTTCCCTTTCCACTTCAAAACATAATATTAAAGAACTAGATTTTCTTAAACAAATAGGGCTCATCAACGCAGAGAGAGAGATCGCCGCCCCAAGATAATTTATTGTTTTCATTTTGGCTACCGATGCTTAAATACATATTTTGAGAGGGCGCATCTCTCGCGATCAAATCTCTCTCTCTCTCCATAACCTTTGCGAGGCACACGTGGATGTACGCGCAGGGGGATATGATTAATGATCTTTTTAATAGGCCTGTAATAAGCGTTCTCCCGGTAATCTGCTGCTCCCGTGCATTTTTTGCTCCTGATTTTACATTAAAAAGTCTGGCGTTCTGACTAATCGTTGTCTATACTCTACGCCTGTATTATGAAAACTGTTTTTTAAATTATTTAGCTTTTCTTTAACAAATAAAAAAATGATTAGGAAATTTATATTTTAAAAAAAAAACCTGGCACAAGCATGAGATTACACATCAATTATTATGTATTTATTAAATTCTCTCCGCTAAAAATTAAATTAATTGTAATAATTTTGATTAATTAATTTAAACTTGTTTCAAGCACATGTATTTGATTGTTGATCAAACAATACATTATAGCACAGTTAATGTGTCTTACTAAATTTATATAAATATTTTCACATACTGTATTTTTTATGTATAAATATTCAAATTTAAATTTATTTGTATTGTTTGTATAATTCAACAAATAATAAAATATATAAAATAAATATAAAAAAAAACATTTAACTTTGAATTTTTTTAATAATATGTATTAATTATACTACAATTTAAAAATTAAAATTTTGTTATACAAATGATTTTGCTTAGGCAGGTATGGCGTGTTGGCAATATAAAAAAGATTTCCAAAAGAGAATTGTGAGCTTTAAAAAGTTTAAAAGAGCATGAAAGTGTTTAGGATCTCTAAATTTGAACAGAAAAAAAACGCTTATTTCCCCAATTAAATTCCCAAAATCGGAAATAATAATAGTAATAAATTGTTAAGGACACATAAATTGTGGACGTTTTTTGCCAAATGTATTTGATTCAGGCAGGGGTATGAATTTAAATCAAATAAATTCCATTTGAGGAAAAAATACTCTCAAAATTTTTATCTTAAAAAAAATTACAATCGTAAATTTACACTCACTGTCAGAAGATTTAAAAAAATTTATCTGGACTTTTGTGCTTGAATTTCAAATCAATTGAAACGCAGTTTTGACTTAATCTGATCAACAAGTGAAAAATTTATTGGGCTTATTAATCAAAATTCTCATGAGCCTGCGAGCACCAAAAGAAAATAAATTGGAGGGGTTAAATTAGCAAAAAAATTCAAATGGTAAATGACGGATTTCAACTTTTTGTGGCATATGTTTATCAATATATATTTTTAACCAAACTAAATAGTTTATATACCTTAACAATCAAGCTTTTATTCTTTATTTCTTTAAAAACATCATAGCAAATGTGTCCTCTGGTAACAATGTATGTATTATTCAAATCAGCGAAAGTGACATATGGACTGACGAAAGAAGGTTTGATTTGATAAGGAAAGCAGCTGCTGAGTGGATGGAAAATTTTGTACGACATAACAGTGCCTTAGCAAAGCAAAAAAACTATAGAAGATGGACATCTGCAGAGAGAGCAATGTTGGACGTATAGAAAAACAAAACAACGCGTCTATAGGGCGCCGATTTACATCAGAGTAATCGATTTTATTCCAAGGCGAGCTAACGTCGATCGCATCTCAAAGGCGGAATCATTTGATGAAACACCGTCCGTCGGACAGATTCGCTGACGGACTGACTCGGGCTAAGAAAAAAAAATGATATATTTTTATAGATGCGCTCGTGGCAAGGGCGGAATAAAATTTATCAAGAAGAGAGGACGCGCGGTGGCGGCGGCACATGAGTGAATAATAATTTCAGAGGCTGCAGATGAAACCCACACATCAGATCCAAATCTATTTCATAAATTTACATAACGCGTGAACTAATAAATGCTTTGAGGTGTAATTTATCATTGTGGCTACCGAACTGCGCGCGTACGAAATTATATTCCGGAACTCTCTCTCGTGCGCGCATTGATGATGCTCTCTGTGTTGAGTATTTATTATTCAAATTAGACAGACCACCGCACTCTCTCACTCCATGTGTTGTAAATTATCGCGCGAGAGCCGAACTTATTGAAATGAGGCGATCCTTTCCTCTCGCGCTCCTTTAATATAATTTTAATTCAGGCGTCGCGTGCTTTGTAATTATGTCATTCAGTTATCGACGACCGCTCTCTCTCTCAAATGATAAACGGAGCGATTAACGCAAATCACATAATTAATAAAGCATGTGTCAATGAGTTTAATTTCCATAAATCAATGCTGGAAGTTTTGGTTTATTTGCTCTTACAAGGTATATGCTATCGAGATGACACACCCCGATTTCAATGAAAATTGGTGTAC